AGCACCCTAACTACTGTTTTGCGAAAAGTTTCTAATAATATAATTGGTCATACATTTGACAAATTATAGTTCCAATTTTCGCCTTAAGGATTGGGTATAGTTTGCTAAGCTTCTATTTGTATGGAATCTCTCCTTTTTTAATATATAAACTTGCAAGATGTTGGAAGACTTTTTGTGCTATAGGTTCTACTTTTTTAATCAAGGGATAGCTTATTCCTGATACACCTGGTGCAGATTTGGGTTTGGTCTTTTTTAATACTTTAGTCATTCTTCTGTGGAGACCTCATCATTTAGACCTAAATATATGTCTTCACTTATATTGTCTGCTGGTCTATATATTTCTTCCTATTTCTTAGACATCTCTTTGTGTAAAATATTCTTCTTCCGAAATTGCTTGCTAAAATGACTTCGTACTTCTTCTAGAACTTTTTCCTTTTGGTTTATTAACGTTATATCTGAGTTGCTCTTTTTTACTATTCTGTTTAAGATTATTCGTTTAAAGAACCTTTCTAAGAGACTATCTAGCATGTGTTTAAGCTCTTCTTGGATTGCTTCACATCATTAGTTTACTGCGATATTTACTTTCTCGAGGTCTTCTTTTTTTCTTTCCTGTTGCAGTTTGGTGTTTAGAATTCTCTACTAGCTCTTAAACATTTCTAGCATTTCTTTCGTCCAGTTTTCGTCTGTGATTTTTTCGATTTTAGTTCCGTATCTGTTGTTTATTTTTAGTATAAAGGAATTTACTAAAATCTTGTTAGTAGAGCTTATTAGTTGGCCTATATTTTTTGTGCAAGAATGACAAAACATTCCAATTTTCTTTACATCTTTTTTAATTTTGTCACTTTCTCTAGTTTTGGTAGCCTTGTGGTTTCCCGCTACTATTTTCTTACCTGGAAGTGATGATTTTACATATTTGGTAATACTCAATGCTATTATATCCCATAGCTTATCTATGTCTTTGTAATGCTAAGGTATTACGAACTCTTTCTTTAGATTTTATATTCATGTCATCATGATCATAATAAGGTTCGTCTAACATTGTAGTTCTTTGATTTGAAATATTTAATTGAGGAAGAGTATAATTATCTGAAACTGGCGAACCGTTATTAATTGGAGTTGTAACATCATCGTCAGTACTCATTATATCAGAAGCGTTACTATGTGTCGAACGATCGTCACTATTATATCCGTTAGATGTAAAAGAAGGAGAACGAGAGATTATCGTTCTATCGGTTTCAAAAGGAGTAGAATAAGTTGCTCCTTTTCTGTTAGAACTAACTGGATAAGCCATAGTTTCGGGTTTTCCAATTATATCTAGTTTTTGAGGATTAATAGAATCACTTTGCCAAGAGGAGGAATGATTAGTTGTTTTTATGCTTCCAGTATGCGGATTATTAGAATGGTTCGGAAATAGAAATCGATGTACTTCTGAAATCATTTCTTGCTAAATGAAAAGGTTGATAAAAAAAAAAAATAAAAATAAAAATAAAACCAATTTAAATAAGAAATTAAGGAGTAATAAATTAATAAATGAACAAAGCTTTTTTTTTTTTTTTACGTACCGACTCTCTTTGCATCTTTATTAAATAAGTATATATAGTTTTTTTTTATATATTAAACGTAATAATTATTAATATATTATTAATTAAAACTTAAATCGTCAAGATATGAAATGACACTGAATATAAAAATAAAAAGGTCGTTCTGCATAAAATTTACATACTTGTTTATTCGGGATCGTGCCTCATTATATAGACAGAACCATTATTATAAAGCATTGTTATAACTATTAATAGAACTAGTCTATTTAAAGTGTTTCACGTGGTAGCGGGATTTTTTCAATTTAGCATTTTATTTTTTTTTGTTGTTATCGGCGGAGTTTAGCCGTTTTTAAAAAGTAATGAGGATACGTGTTATCAATCATTATTTGGAATATCGAAAGAAATCACTTTTGTTGATTTGCTGGAATATAATGTCAGAGGAAATGGGCAACTCATTTTTGGAAATCGTATTACTCATTAAACATTATTGTTTGAAAGTTGGATTGGACTAATCGAGTTAATGATTAATGATTGTTTATTACTGTTACATTTGCAGTCATTGAGAATGTTCGTTACCTAAAGTAATTTTTTAGTAGCTGTAGACTTTTAATATATAGATATATACATACATATATGTATAATAGGTTAAACTTTTTGTTTACCATTACAGGATATACAATAATATGGGCTAGGTGCTGAGAAAAGGGCCCAAATTGAAAAATCAAATTTTATGTTATAAATCTTATAATAAATCATAAAAAAAATGCAAACTTTAAAAAGCCATACTGGAAAATTTTATTAATACAATTACTTTTATATCTTAAGTGAAAAATGATCCTAATCTTATTCTAAATTGATTGATATAAAAAAATTGCTTTTGAAAAAATTATCAATTTGGGCCCTTTTCTCAGCACTTAGCCCATATATTCGGTTTGTTGGTTTACATTTTTTAGTTTAACTAGATCACTATACAATAAAATTCAGTAGACAATGCTTAAGGAAAGAACAAATTCGGATTCCGGATTTCGGATTCCGGATTACCATATTAGATATATAACGAATATTTAATATTCTTTAAATATTCTATTAAAAAAAATTGATGTATATTTTTTGCCATTTGACGAATTTTTTTTATTCACACACTATCCTGCTATTATGCCAAAATAAATAAAATAAATAACTATGGCAAATTCATTTTGTAACATTTGTTTACTTATATATTCAAGTTATAGATAGAAGCTAGTTACCAAACATAGGGCGATTGATATTATATTCAATTAGTAATAGTAAGTTAGTAATCATAAGTTAGTAATCGTACGATAAACTATAATATAAACAATAATTCTCCTCCATTACAACTGTACAATGAACGCTGTCACGAAATTGATTGGATAATGCCATATTTGTTATCTGTTATCATGTACAGTACTTGATCACAGTACTTGATCACTTAAATGTTTGCTTTAAAAATGGAATTTATAATCCGATTACTTGTCATTAGTGATCAAAAAAAATCACTAATCGGAGTAAATTAAATCTATGTAATATCGATGCGGACACGAACACAACTTTAGAGCTTCGAGTCATTGATTCGAGTAAGCTTAAGGTTGTTCCCTAAGCTTTCTAATTACTTGTATAATATTATATATGTATGTAACGATTCAGTTTTTCATTCTATTCAAATTTGGTAAGTTTTAATTCGCTTAACGTTAACTATAACTATAATTAATCGCGTAACTTTATTTTGGCCGCCGCGTTTAACTCTAATTTTTCCTAAAAATCGCAAAAAATTAATGCCGTACAACCTCTTTTATATTATTACTCCTTGTAATGTCAAGCTTTATGCAATTTTTTATTATTTCGATAAATTTAGTAATTTTAATAAGAGATTTTAATTAATCTCGCGTCTTTTTGCTTCTTTCGATAAATAACAAATAATAATTACTCTTGCGCTACAAATCTTTCTTGGTACATATCAGTGCTCATCATGTGGACGTTAATTCGACTGCCATACGTTAATATTGTTTCATTGTTACCGTTACTGTTCTTGCCCTATTTGTTTCCTTAATCGGTTCTAAAGGGCTGTGATTTACTTTTATGATTCTAATCCGCACTACTTGATTTTTTAACTTTAAGGATTTCATCTCACTTCCAAATTAACTTTTATTCTATTTCCTATTTTTGCGATTACAGTTTGTTTAATCTTAATTTTACCCTGTATCTCTAATCTTTATCGCTGCACAATCTAATCTAATTATAAGAATTACTATATAAATTTGCAAGTTATTTATATAAATAAATGATGGATATAAATTAGGTATTAATTAATAAATACGTAGTTTAACGCCATTATACGTACGTACTTCTTCATTACTACCTCATAGCTATGTATAAATTAGGTATAAATTAATATTAAATAGTTTAACGCCGTTACTACTCATTACCTTCCCCATTACTGCTCATTACTGCATACCCTATACGGCGGGAATTTCTATACCGGACCGGTGCTTGCCGTTAAGATCTACTATTCACAGTCTCTATGCAAATTTTGCATATACACTAAAAAGAAATCTGCAATAAATTAAATCTATAACTATTTGAATTTTAAAAATTTCCTAAATATTGTCATTGATACCGATACGCACTAATTTACTGTATTTAGACATTATTTATGCTCAATTACGTGAAATTAACTTCCTTATTTTCATAAAAATAAATCCGAATTTCCGCCCTTTAAGCAAGAAAATGCATAACCCCTAAAAATTTAACCAATATGTACGCATTCTACCTATGATAAAGAGAAAAAACAATACCTCAATCTTAGAAATTTTATATTAAGTCTTATTTGCGTCACTCATATATTGATATCATGATAAGGCGGTCGAACATAGCTAGCATTCTCCGCCCTTTCGGCAATATTTTTTATAATATTATCCGGGTAGCCTAAATTAGATAGCGATAGAACCCTGTCTAAAAATCTCTAATCAAATAAGGTTTAGACAAATTGGGATAAGATCTGAATAAATGTCAAGCCATTTTATTTTTTATACCCAGCCCACGGTTACATAAATTTATAGTAAATAACTTTTAAATAAATTTTATGTGAATTTTTTATCTATTTTTAAAATTTTGCCAAATTTGTAAGTATATTACTATATTTGGATTTATAAACATACGATAAAATTTACAACTTGTCGGAAAAACATGTTAATAAGACCGATTTTTACTTTCTACTATTTATCGAAGTTTTAATGAGGTGATATATACAGGCAAAGCTCAATTTATAGAAGCTAATGAGCTAATTCAATGCCAATTACGTATATGTTGTAACGTAAAGTTTTTCGCTTTATCAAAATATTCGTTACTGTATATTAAAATTGAGTACTTTTTTTTTTTTTTAAAAAAAAAAAAAAAAAAATATAGCAAAACTACACTTAAGCCAATTTACTTTTTAAAAAAAATCGATGATAATGTTTTTTTATAATTCTATACTAAAATGTGAAGTGTTTGTTTAAAGTGTTTGTTAAAAATGATAATTATAACTTAATACTTTTTTATAAAATAAAATTTCGAGTGTCTTGCCAAAAATAATTTTAAATTTTTAATTCATTATCGTTTTGGATTATTTTTAATTCATTATTGGATTATTTCCAATTTCTTATTAATCGATTCCAAGTTTGATACATGAATTAAAATTTTAAAATATTAATCGCCTTTTTTTTTGTTTTTTTTTACGTATCTAAAAAATATCGATATATATATATTCAAATTTTAATTAAATTTTTTCCAATTAAAGTTTTATTTAGTAAACTCTCCCTAAATGCACCTCCCTTCTCTAAATGCATTATATTTTTTTGCCTCATCTTTATAAATACTTTCTACAATGCATATTACACGATTTTTTTCAAAGTTTATTATTTAATTTTAGGGAATTACTATTTTCACTAGCTATTTCCACTAGCTATTTCCACTATAATAATCCGGTAAATCAAAACAATAACTAACATTATAAAATTCGATTCACCCCTAACCCTAATTCTAATTCCAGCCACATGATGGAAATAGCAAATTTAATATAGTGGAAATACGTAGGGATTTTCTAATTTTAAATAATTTTTTAATTAAGTAAATATTTGGTTCTTAACGTTAATTAAAGTTGTAGAAATAGTTTAATTCTAATAGAATTTTTTTATTTTTAAATATTTAGCTTCAGACGATCAAATTTCAAAAAGTTGAAATCCAAACAAATTAGTTTATATACGTATAGACTAAAATTAGCATAGTATTAATTTTAATTTTTGGTTTATTAAATTCTTTTTTAGAAAGTAAGTTTTCTCTATTTTAAGTATAAATTATTTAGCTATTCTGAAAATATTTAAATATAATTAGCTATAACAAAATTGTTATTTTAATTTTTTTTTTTACTTGAGCAATTTTGCTTTTTTTTTATTTAAAAATAATAATTTATTAAATAATTTATTAAATAATAACTTATAATAAAAAATTATATCTTGATATAACTATTTATTGTTTTACTAATTGTTAGTTTGAACTAATTTAATTGTATCAAATATACTTAAATTAATACAAAAAATATTTTTTTTCTAAAAGTAATTTACTAATATTTAATATTTTTTAATTTTTAATTAATAAGTAGTAATTTCTAACTATTATTAAGATTTTAAATACTTTTTAATCTAATTTAAACCTAAATTCAAATTTATTATTTAGCTTTAAAATAAAAATAAAAATAAAAAATTATTATAAATAATCAAAAAACAAAAAGTTATATATTATATAAATATAGATATAATAAAACTTTATTAATTAAAAATATAAAAAAAAAACAAAACAAAAATAAATAAAAAAATTCTTTTTAATATAAAAAAAAAACTCA